TTTGTAGATGTAGCAAGGAAGAGAAGGGCTACCATAACCATACCTTTGCTGTGTATCCTGAGGGTCATCGCCAGTTGAGCGGCCTCAACGCTTCATCTAGGAATATTGTTCGTGATATGACGGACGCTCAGGTGGCCCCGACAAAATTATGGCCGCGCTGAAGGAAAAGAATCCGGGAGACAACGTTCATGTGCGACAGATATATATATTTATATCTTGTAATATATGTTTTAATTAACTTTTTGAAGTTAATTATGATAATTAGTAATTTTCTTTTATATCTAAAAGTTATTGTAATAATTAATAAATTTTATTATATTTATTAATGTATTATTACTATGATAGTTAAATTTTTTTTTATGAAATAAATTAATTAATATACTTTTTTATTTATTAATATAATAATTTTTTTGTTTTAAATTATAATAATCATTATAATTAACGCTAATTGGTGACAGGTATATAACTTTAGAGATGAGCTGCGGAAAGAGAGTTTCGAGGGTAGAGACGTTCATTCCCAGCTTATGCATTTGGCCATGAGCAGCGAGTATACAGTTTATGCAGAATCCGATTCGAACACGAAAGCGTTGACGCATATATTCATGGCCCATCCTGCATCGGTCAATCTATTCCGGACATATCACTGGTATGTCGGCATAGATTCCACGTACAAAACCAACATGTATGTTACTTTATAAATACTTTATTAGTATGAATCTTAAATAGTATGTTTGATTAAGTTAAGTTTTATGTGATTATATTTTTTGTCTTCTTGGTCTCATTTGTACAGGTACAAGATGCCGTTGGTCGAGATGATTGGGATGACGCCGTGCAACCAGAACTTCCTAATTGCGTATGCGCTCATCAGGGACGAGAAAGAGGCTAGTTACGACTGGGTTCTACAGAAGTTGAGACTACTGATAGGCCAAGGCTTATATCCTAATGTGGTTGTCAGTGACAGAGAGTTGAGTTTAATCAGTCCTATTAAGAGGCATTTTCCCGAATCAACCCACTTACTCTGCACGTGGCACATCAACAAGGATGTGGAAGACAGAGCCTACAAACTCTTTGGGAAGAATAAAAAAATCTCGCAGATTTTCACGCACAGTACGTGGAAGGCGATTGCGGAGGCCAGTACGTTCCATGAGTACACCGATGCCATTGCCGAGCTACGCGCAAAATACTCGAAGTATCCACAAGTGGTACAGTATGTGGAGAACACATGGTTAGGGCACAAGGAGAAGTTTGTGAAGGCTTGGACCAACCGGGTGACACATTTTGGAAACACAACTTCCTGTAGGGTGGAGAGTGCCCACTCTGTGTTGAAGCAGTAGCTTCACACGTCCACCGGCGCGCTCGATACAATTTGGCAGAAGATTAATAAGCAGATCGATCATCAAGTGACTGAAATCAGGTAGATACTCCAATTTTTAAATGCGTTATTATATTAATGCATTAATTATAATCTAATGTTATGTAATGTATTATCAGGACGGCGCTTGAGACTTCGAGATCTAAGAAGAGTACACGGTATAAGGGAATCCTTTTCACGAGCGTGATATTGAGGGTCTCGCATTACTGCCTGAGGTTATTGGACGTGAGCTTACGGTGATGCATGGCTTGGACATCTATGTTTACGATAGCTGCGGCTATGTATTGCAGATCACTCATGGACTTCTTTGTGCCTGTCTGCTCCGTACCGCAGTTGATTCTAAAATTTCGATTGATCTCGGAATGATTCACCAGTTCTGTAGTTCCTAGACTCCCAAGCACGTACTGCACTGATTGGTGGGTATGTAGGGAGAGGGACAGTCTGGACATTGACGCAGAACACGCACATGCATGTACGGCTCGACAACATCGCGGTATCGAATCAATCCGTAATAAAGAGTCCTCGGCTCTATCGCATCTGGGCTGGAGCTGCCGTATGACAACCATTGCACCTGTTCACAATTGCATAAAAGAATGAAAAATAATTATATTATTTTAAATAAAGGGTAACTAAATTTAGATAAAATAACTTAACGTACATCGGAGGCAGTGAGTCTGTCGAGGCGCCGACAGATGGCTGTGAGCCGATCGTCTGACCTTGGCGCATTCCCTACGCTCCACAAGCGAGATCGTGCAACACAGTCAGGACCGATGGGTAGACGCCCCTGGGGTCAGAAATCGGGGAAATACTCATATATCCAGGACTGCAGAAGAGCCCCGCAGCCCGACAGTCCACTGGAGTCCCCTCGGCTGGCAATACCTAGCTCTCTGTACATGTATGCCAGCGTAGCCGATCCCCATGAGTAACCCCCAATCACATCCAAGTCGTCGAGCACCTCATGTAGGAGCTTGGGGGTCACTCTACTACCGCTCTTGTCGACAAACAATGTGGTAGCCAACATCACCCACATCCAGGCACCCGCCTCATTCCTAGCCGGTCGGCCTTTCCCCCTGAATGCCCCCACAATGGAGGCTTCGGTCACCGAACCACGCTGCCAGAACGAACTCATGAGTTCAGCCTTGGTGACCGAAAGTATCGACACGCAGAGCCCCTGGCAGGCGTCTGAATTCGGGTCCTCAGCAACCACGACTCCCTCCACAAGAACGCCCAAAATGGCCCAGACGTCGTGCAGAGTGATGCTCATTTCTCCAAAAGGCAGATGAAACGAGTTAGTATCCGGCTGCCATCACTCCACAAATGCAGAAAGGAGTGGAGTGTCCAAGTGGCTGTGCATGGAGTCGACCAGATGTGACAGTCCGGTCTTGTCGATCAGAGCTCTCGCATCAGAAGACATCTCATCACGCCAAGCCCTCAGATTCTCGACCGCTCTCAGTCTGTTGTGGCATTTCAGCAGCCCCCTAAAGTCTCCATTCCACATGCGGGAGGATACGTGCCCTAGAAACCTAGGGATGACACTCCCATCAATGGCCCACCGGCCACTGGGCCTTTAACGATCCAGGGTGCATCATCATCGGTCCTAGCTCGTTTGGTAGTACCTACATTACAATACAACATATCTTTACATATAGACTTGCTGGCAGATGCATTAAATAAAATATAGTTCATAAGTTTCCCGCTCTTTTTTTTCAATTAATGTAGAAACGTTACATTTTATATTAATAAAATATAATGACAAGTTTAAACTAATTTATTATATAACATTACTACTAATTGATTATAACAATAATAAAAATAATTATAATAATTTTCTAACTAATTAATTGTATAGTTCCTCTAAATTACAAAATAATTATACCGTTGTTGAGGAGCAGACCGATAATACTTTTCTAACAGTACCGATAATTTGTTATGATTAAGTCAAAATAATTTATGTTAAACAACAATAAATACATAAATTATTTACCTGATGAGAATGTCAGCGCTACCAAAATGCCCCCCAGCCTGTCGTTGAGGAGCAGACTGTGTAGGACGAACAGCCTGTACCGGACGAACATGTTGTAGAACAGGTTGTACCGGACGAACAGGCTGTACAGGAGGACGAGGGTGGCTAGGACCCGTACGGTGTGCGTGGTCATGATCATCTGAGGAGTCGTCCGAGTCACACTCCTCTGGGCCTTGCTCCCTCTTGCCGTACGTCTCATCAGCATACCCCTGCTGACCATAAGGTAATGGTGCGCGTGCGGGGAGGGATATCGATTTCCCTGCGTAGTGGGGAAAAGCATATCCCGACTGATCGTACGGTCCTGGTGCCGGGGGCATCGAACTGTCTCTCTGGCCAGGATAATAATATCCATGTTCACCGCACGGTAGGACTTCGTGGAGTCACGAACTATCTGGCTGGCCCTCAAAATGATATCCCTGCGTACCATCTTACTGGTGCGGGGGGTCTCGAACTCTGCCTAGCCTGAAGAGTCTGTACCCTTCGAGCCTCATCGATCAACGTCTGTCTGTCCCGACGAACGGATGCATTGACACCCCGACTTCTAGTGTGTCGGGTGCCAGAACCATCATAATAGTCATCGAACGCCTCGTCGTCGTCCCTGGCATTAGATTGTCCAGCTCTGCTAACACCTTGAATCAGAAATATAATTATTAAATTTTTCCATATGTAATAACTATTGTAATAACTATTAAAATAGATTATAATTCATTTTTATTTTAATTTATATATTTTCTTATTATGATTTTAATTATTATTATAATTATTACTGTTGAGATTTATAATAATTATTATAATTAATTATAATTATTATTACAAATTATTACTATTAATTATAATTAATTCTAATTTATAATTACTATTATAATTAATTTTATTATAATTATTATTACAAATTAT